GCTAACAGCAAAAAAAAAAAAAAAAGTTTATCTGTAGCGTGCATTTTTGCAGAAAAAACATTGTAGCTGACCTGGGTAGCTAAACTCGTCGAGTACAACTTTGTGTCCGAAAGTTGCGGAACGCGCTAATTGGACTTTCGCGACGCTGACGTCAAGCCGAGCGAGGTGTCAATCATCCAAGCTCTCTCGGTGCTCAAATTCCAGCGAAGATGTAAAACACAAATTCGTAGCGAGCTCCATCGAAGCGCGTGCGAGCAACACCGTGGTGCCTGCCGATTGAACGGCTGCACTAATGACGTCTCGCCCGACTGTCCCTACATCCCTGCGCCGCGTTAGAGTCGATGATGCGTAGATTGTACATAGGCGGCCGGTAAATACTCTGAACTTTCTCGTCGCAAGATCGTCCTTTGTGGAAGTTATTGATGTCGACAAAGTGACGTTTCACAACTTTGAGAAGGAGTTATTTGAGGCCAAAATCTTCGCTTCGGAATCGAGGCGAAGATTGAACTTTGTGATGTGGAGCCGATCGCGGTGTACGCGGGCGGCTTTATAGAGCTCATCTTCCGCCACTGTCAACAACGCCACCTGGGTCACCCACAGGCGGTTTGTGTAGAGACGTCGGTAATGTCTCAGAGATGAGGGGAAAAGGGGGATAACAGAAAAAAAAAAAAGCCGAAGAAAGGGAAATAAAAAAAATTAAAGACGTTTACAAATCTTTGTAATGCGAAATTAGAGCTCAAGTCTTGAGGAGAAATAAGGGAGGGTACGGAGAGGAGAGTATGCACCTGCTCCTCCCCTCTTCCTCTCCTCCCCTCCTCCTCCCATCCAGTTGCTCCGCTAAATTTAGCAGGGAAAAGGACATCACATGACAATCGAGCGGAGAAGTGAATTGGCGTTGAAGTCAAGTAGCTGGGAATTAAATTGGTGTTGAGGTCATGTGACGTCAATTTCGCGCTAAATTTAGCAGGCCGGTTACGCCGACGGCGACGCCCATGCCGCGAAGCCCGGAAATGGGCGCCGAAAAACTGCGCTCTTAAGGTACGACCAACACACACACACACACACACACCTCCCCTCACACACTCACACACACACACACACACACACACACACACACGCACACACGCACACACACAAGAGTCTCAAGAAGGGCTGTAGAAATTGTTCGCAGAGAGAGAGAGAGGAGGTGATTGTGGTGAAGAGAGGGGATATTCCTTTCCCCTAATATTTTATTATAACTGTCTGAAATGCTATGGTCGTTCGGGGCTGGGGCGATACCCCCCACTTCCACACTTATGTGCCTTGCCCCCTCTTTCGACGCAACTAAGGGAGGGAGGGGCTAAATCCCCCCCCCCCCTCCTCCCCATCCTCCTGTTTCGACGACCCTGCTTAGAGGTGTTCCAAGGAGCAATGACGAGGAACAGCACAGCCTGCAATTTTCTAAATAACGGTTCAAGAGATTCTGGAATTAAAACGGCTCGCGTTCCATGAACTCAAGAGCGGCCATGACAGACTTTCAAGCGAAAGACTCGTGCCAGGGCACGTATACAGTGTGCGGGCGCGTTCAGTGACGTCATTTTATAGTTGATACCTTTGACGATGGAGTCAGGATTATCAGTTGTGAACGACAAATTTGATGGTGCGTGTTCAAATCGACGATGTCAAGTTTGGTGTCCTTGCGTTCTTGAAGCATCACCGCCAATATTGACAACCTGACATTACTTTTATTTCCTTATTTCCGTTGATAAACATACTTAATCCCAAACTAACTGATCTTCGAATGTCTACCATGAAATGATTTTATCCCGCCGATGAAGAGACAACTGCCCGGAGGCGAAATTCGCCCGAAAGTGGACAACGGTAGTCGGCTGGTTGTGGCCTAGCCACGTCGGGCTACACTTTGGCCAGATTCGAAAGGCCGAGATAAATCAAAAGAACGGAAGGGACGCTTTTTAGTAAATTCTACTTTATCGGCGAAAATAAGAACGATACCAGACTACCAACTTCGACGGTGTTGATTTTAAAATGCAATTCCCAAGCATCCATCGTGCTTTTTAGAGACCATCAAACATGACGGTCGCAGCTGATAATCTTTGTTGTGACGTCACACGTATGAGCCACGGTCGTCTCCGCGCGCTCTCTAGTGCTGCTCTTGTTCGGTGCCTAGGGAGGCGTAGAAATTTTTCGTCCCCTCAACAAAAACGTCACGAAGACAGACGGATCTGCGGGTTTGTGAAAAGAAAACTTCGCAGCAATCTTTCGGCTCCTCCCCCCCCCCCCCCCCCCCCCCCCTATGTCATAGCAAAAAGAATATTTTTGTTGACGAGTTTAGCGACCCTAGCGTCATTAGTTCTTTTGATATTATATATCACAGATTTGCAGGGGAGGTTTTCTTGTATCCATCAAAAGACTTGAAATATCTACATCCGATAAAGTTGCGCTGAGCTTTCCTTCGATGAGTTTTTTTTTACTGATACTTTGTTAGCGGAGGGCTTTCTTCATTACGGACATGGACGTCATAATACCATATATACTTATGCGAGGGACGTCTAAATAGCTACCAAATTAATCAGAGCCCAAATGCCTGTCAAGGATAGACCGAATATAGCAAAAATAAACTATTTATATTATACCCAGTAGGCGCACCGCAGCACTGTGAAGAAATCTTAGACTCGCTGATCCACTCAACTGTAGACTCGCTGATCCACTCAACTGTAAACTTCCCCGGTACCATATGTTCCAGCTCACGCCCCTGACCCTTTTCTAACCAATGTCAGCGAACAATTAGTTAAAACAAGTCGTACAAGTTTTATTTTTTATTAAAGGAATATTCAATCAGTCAAAAATCACCAATGCTCCGATCCGATGAGTCGCACAATTTTGTTCTGTCTGTGGAGTCGTGGGGACATCACACATTTTGCGGTGTTCGCTCAACTGGGGTGCCCTCTCGTGTCGCGCGCTCAACTGGTCGTGCGTTCTCGTGTCGCGCGCTCTAGTGTCAAGCGCGCTACTGTAACCCCTCATTCACACTGGAAGCGGATCCGCGTTCGAAAAGGGGAAGTGAGCGCGGTTGTATTAAGATACAGTACAATTGCACGCGCACTTGATGTCATCGAGTGCGCGTGCAATTGTACTGGATCTTTATACAACCGCGTTCGCAACCGCTTTGCGAACGCGGATCCGTTTCCAGTGTCACGGCCACTCGATTCGAGTGGCCGTGCCAGTGTGAATGAGCGGTAACATCGCCCTCGTGTCCCGCGCTCTAACGTCGGCGCTCTAGTGCCGCTCACGCTAAAGGCGCTCTCCCGATTTTGGCCACTGCCCTTAAACGACGAGTGGAAATTGGCAGCAATCATGTTGATATAGAAATACGACCTATAGAATGGGAAATACGGTGTATTATTTCCGTGTCCACCGTACCCTAGTTACATAATTGCTAACGAAATGGTAAACAAAATATTTAATCTTCTTCAATTTCTGAAAATAAATATACAGAACATGAAGCGTGAATTTAATTTACAATTGACATCCACTACTTTTAGCAAAAGTCATTGTATCCAGGGGGCCCATGTTCCATTCAGGTTTTCAGGGAACCCCCTCGGATCGATCTGCTTATTTGATGGTGCAATCGAAGTTTGCTCGTAGCTTTGTAATCTAAGTGTAAGGATGGACACCCACTGAAGTAAAAGAAAAAAACAAAAACAAGGTATTAATTGACCCATCGAGCTCGATGTTGAAAAGAAAAATACAAATATTATCAATTTAACAAATTTTTGTCACCAGCAGTTACTCTTATACGAAGCATTTATGACATGCCGGCTTATGTGAGAAAATTATAAAAGCCACAAGGAAGGGTGGCTTTTATGTTTCTGAAAGAGACGTTAAATTAGTCATCATATCCAAATATTCAGAAGACACATCTGAAAAAAAATGTGGTTGTTTTCTAGTAATATTTATGACATGACTAATTTCGTTGTTTTGTTTTTTTCTTTCTTTTTTGAGAAAGAAAAAAATAAACTTGTTAGAAATGGCAGTCAAGTTACCACGTTTTGATAACAATGTCATCGAAAGAAATTTGTGTTCTTTAGTAATATATTTTGCTTGTGTGGTCTTATGTAGACAAGGCAAATTTTTGTTTAGACGAAAACAAACAAGTCATGAAAAAGCTGAGCAGAAAAAAAAACACATTTAACTAGTTTAGATAGTGAAGTAGGGCGCGCTGAGTCAGCAAATGCGCGATGTAGTGCATGGTATTTTGTTAGGGTTTTGCTGACTGATTTGATAAATGCCGTGAAAGCTACCATAAATCGGTGTGTGCAGGTGCCTTTTATGGTCTAGAGCACATGATATAGAGGGCTATTCGTCACAAAAAGTCGGTTAATAACTACAGCTTGTTGATAAAATTTTAAGTAGGTAATACAAACATATATTTCAAATTAGAAACTGGCCAAGCGTAAATCAAAAGCCACTCAATCAGTTAATTAGAAAAAAAAGTATTTGGGCACGTTTGAATTGCGGTGATATGCTTGTCACTGGTGTAACAGGCGCAAAGCTAGCGTTGCGACACCCTTGTGGCTGTAATACCCAAGTGCTAAATTCAGAGCACTACCGCACCTCTCGCGCGCTTCAAATTCGTCTAACATGTACTGATTAAGTGGTTTTCGATGACTCTCGGTATGTCTGCTTCTGTCTGCTTTGTGTTGACTCGATGATAGGTGGCAGCAGCCACCATTTCCAATTCAAAGGGGGAGGCCCCGACGCTGAGCGCGTTTAGCCATTCCTACTCTCTGCACCAAGGCCGTTGGAATTTGGCGAAGAAAGATGTATTCACTATTTTCGCTCACACTCTTCTTTTCTCCTTGCATTCCACTGCGTGGGAACGGGAGCTGCGTAGTAGGGATGAAGCTGCACATTACGGCCATCGCACCTTCATTGGACGTGAAGAATGTCAAAGCCGGGCTATTTTTTGTTAAATAAAAATTAGGCAACGAAAAAAATCTTCAAAGAGAGGACCACTGCCGTAAACTCACTCCGGGTTCTTTGAGTGCAATGTTGCTCATCTCACACGGATCCTTCGCCAGGTCAAATAGGTACGGAGGAGCTCCCGGCACAAAGTTTTCCCTCTCATCGTCGCCGCAGTTGAGTGCAGCTTTCTGTCTCCAATTACTGTCCATGAAAAGGATTCCTTTGTTGTGAAAGTTTCTGAGCACCCTCGCGGCCTTAGACTGCGCCATGGCGATGTCCAGGTCCCGATAGGGGCGAGAATTGCCTGGCGTTTCAAGGCGCTGGTCGTTTTCTTCAGTGCCGGAAGATTCTCCCAGAACCAGTTTGTAGTTCAAGAAACGAATGGCCGACGTTAGGTCAATGGGATTAATATTGTACAATAATTCGTAGCGTGCAGATGGCAAGTTGTAAGAAAGATGGTTCCACAAGTTTTGGCCATCCAGTGCACCTAAATTGAAAGGGTTGCCTTCTGAAAAGAAAGAAAAAAAAATACATCATGATCTTGCCGGATCTTGGAAGAATGTTAATGCTAGCTCAGACATCCACATAAGAGTGTAAACGACTTAGTTACGAAGACTTATGACTCTATACGAATCGAAGATATTATGGTCGGTGACAGGCAAAAACGTCAGTAGAAGCTTCGCCTTCAGCACATCGCTCATTGACTTCCGCGACCTTTGGTGCCACATACGAAGAAGCACTAAGAAAGTCAGAAAGATACCACTGGAGGCGGTCATCTCCGCAATCCTTAACATGTCACCGACTATAAACACCGTACTGGAACACTGGCACGATTACAAAATTACCCAAGAAAGTTTACAATAAAGCAACACGATATCATCTGCGGTTGAAGCGAAAAGGCGATTCCAGTTGGTGATTGATTCGTGTTTATAAGGGCATTACAAAAAAGATATGTTACAAATGATGTCTTGTGCATGTGCTTTGATCGTTATGATAAAGTTGAGGATCGCGAAATGTATGGTGGAATTGCGATATGATTGTTAGTAAAATATGGTCCTTATTCCAAAGCGATTATATGTCCCTCCTGTAGCCTCCATTAAAAGGTACAAGATTTCTCGCTAATTTTAGCGCCAGGGAAATTCGTCCTGCTAAATTGACCGAGAAGGGATCCACTCTGTGTCAAACCATCTTTTGTTTATTTTACAACGACAGGTGTTATAGGCTCTACCTCCCCCTCCGCTCCACTTGAAATAATGTAAATGTAGGGCGTTGTAAAAAGACTGCCGTCGATATCGCAAAATGAAAGAATAAGAACAACTCAAACACCCGACGAGGTTTTTTTTCACCATTGGTTCCTTGTTCAATTGACTGTGAAATAAGCGCCGTACCACATAACCGCGCCAGCTGATTTAGGTATTTTCTATTGCGAAGCTACGCCAGCTATTACGCGCGCTGTCTAATGAGCCGCATGTGCTGAGGACAACTACGGCATATGAGCCTCGAGCATCGCTTGCTAGATAGCCGAAGTGGCGGTGGCGTAGCGACACCCAACCTGAGCTTCGCGCCGCATACGTTAGAGCTCTTCTAGCAGGCACTGCCGATGGCTCCACCACCTAAAGTACAAGATTCGTAGATGAAACATGCATAAACATAACTAGGGTCAGAATAGTTGTCGGAGCAATTGCTGTGACTTTAAAGCAGTGGATGGGTTTTATTAAGTTTCAAAGTACCGCCACCAGGTGCATGGTGAGACGCAAGGTGGTGCAGGCTGGGACGGATGCGCATAGCGGTGGCCCGGCGCCGGCATTTATCTGTCGACCAATAGGAGCGTGCTCTCAAACTACGGCGTGTAACCAGCATTCACAACCGACCTATAGGAGCGTGCGCGTCTAGATGTGAGATACGCGATGAGTCAAAAGTGGCGACGGATCACCGGCATCCAATAAAAGCGCCCGCGGCGAGATGAAGCAATGACCGGACTTGTATAAGTCAGGATATCCAGCGCTTTATGTGACTGCATTATGAACTCACACAGGACTGTACAGTTTTGTGAACACATCCGCGTAGAAATTTTACATGAACACCTCGAATGTCAGCCGTCCTGAAGCAACTAGCTTAAGTAGTATGTTCGTAATGTTTCTTATATTCCCACCTCCTGTTTTACACGACTTAAAAGCTGCACCTGGAATTCGATTTTAGAAGCAACATACGGGCAGCGGCATAAAGCGTGGGAAGCCAATCGGTGATGTGCATCATCTGGTCGGACACCCTGTTCTTCTGATATAACAGGGGACTCCAGATGAAGGCGCTGGCTCTGGTGCCCCCTTCCCAGAGTGTTCCTTTTCCTCCGCGAAGCGGGAAGTTGCTGCCCCCATTGGACTCCACTCCGGAGGAGAGGCCACCGTTGTCGCTACTCATCACAATGATGGTGTTTGCCAGCATGTCAGCTTCATACAGGGCCTCAAGCACATCCCCTACTGACTCGTCAAGGGCGTCTACCATGCCTGAAAAAAAAAATAGGTTGGACGACTATTGGTGACGTGCGCTCAAAAGTGTCGTTGCTGTTGGCTTTCCAAAAATGGCCAGACACATTCGGTATGACGTCTTGAAAGGGATTAATTCTGCTTTCAGCGTTGGAAGTGATAATAATATCACACTGTCCAAGTTGGCATATTTGACTTGAGAATACCATGATTCCAAACTTTAACTGCTGCTTTCACACACACGACCAAGTTCGTCGATCGCCATTAATAGGAAAAAGCCAGGACCACGATTTTTGAGGTCACGGCGTGGCAACTCTTGCTAGTGACCCCAAGTAAAGAAACCGGGAAGGCAGGTTCACACTGTACAATTTTCTTACGTTTCTTACGTTACGTATGTGTAACCGAAAAATTGGTGTCTCAAATTACGAAAGCCAAGCTATCCATTTGAACTGCTAGCCAAGCTTAATATAACGCGCAGGTGTCATGGAGATTTTGCGTTTTTACATGAAAACTTCTCTACCGTAGGAAAACAGCGCCTTAGCAAGCAGCCTTAAATGGATTGTTATGTGATACTCGGAAGTTACTAAGCTTTTGTGCTGATCGTAACCTAGATAGGGCGCAAATATAGCCAGACGTGATATTTTTTTCAGTAAAGGACGTTTATATATCCGTTAAAGCACTTATGAGTACCAAAACGAAACCACTCTAAATGTCGCAAGTGTGCATGGCTGGTTGTGTCGTGACATAACATCAGGCATAGCAACGTCAAAGTCGCGGGCGTTGACGTATTCCTTGTTTTGATCAACATAGTTTATGGTGCGTACAAACATCATCGTCAAAGAACTGAGGATATCTCAATAGCGTAAATATTGTCTTTTTTTATACCAATGTTATTTTACTGAGAAAGCAGTAAAAACCTGAGGTGGCACTCTTTGCCTGATGTTATGTCAAAGCTTCCGCTGTTGCCAGCGAAAATGCTGTGTGTTTTGCAGGTGCAATCTGAGCAGTCGAGCTCCGCTTAAAATAGAATCATTTGTGCGGCGGAGGATTAAAAATCCGGATATTGAGCGGATGAGATACCTGAAAGCAATGACAATATAATTTAATTGTTTAAAAAAAGTCTAAATATTCCCGGACAATTCCTCTAAGACTGTGCCGCCGAAACATATTTCGCAGACCGCGACACTAATAGTCACCGACACGATGGGAGCAGCAGCTTGCCTCTTTTGAAATTCCGGCATCGAACAAGAGGGATCAGTGGCAGAGTGGTCTAGCGCACGCCAGCTCGGAGCACTTGGAGCGGAAGCGCGCACTGCGGAACCCAAGGATCCTCGGCTTAATCCCCACCCCTGCCCGTTTCGATTTGGATGAGCATCGTACCGACTGGCGGCCGTGTACCACTACTGCGTGTGCACGCTAGCAACCCCAAGTAGCGGTTGTGCTGCACTGGCTAAATTTCTCATCTACAGCTGGGAGACTTGTCGCCCGCTAAGGTAGCCCAAGTATAAGGTTTTATAAACCCACACACAACAATTTGCTTTGTTTCCAATAAAGGCCCCTTGTCCCTTAGCTTTAGTGTGCCTACATCTCCGTCTGTCTCATGTTGAAAACATCCTTTGTTGCACTGAGGGGGCCGGCGCGTGACGCGATGGCGCACTCAGTGCCTGAGTTGTGCGGTAAAATTGGCGTCTAAGCATTAGCCAAGGCTACGCACCCTCGCTGAGTCACACAAGTTTGCGTAACAAAACAAAAAAAAAACGATTGGGATGAACAATGGCTGAGATGGCGTCAGTCAAGCAATAGCGCGTCTGCATGTACGCACTGTATGCAGCGTGTATCGGCTGCTTGCACCATAGAGTTATTATAATGTACGCTAGAGGTTCAGCTGGCGCAAGGGTGCTCTGACGAATAGATTACAAATAATTATAACGTAGCAAAAGCTTAGAACATTCCTCAATTTCATGCCATTTGTGTAAAATAATTTCATCGTACAGAGTGATAAAACACCTTCATATATTGATTGATGTGCAGTGTCGGGCGCTATTAACGCAAACACGGCGTCGGCGTTCTTCTTTTTTTTTTGCGGTGGAATGTGAGTACCGAGAGAATTAAAGCCACACTCTTAGAAAAAAGGGTCAGTATAGTCCTCCCTAAAGGGAAGAACGCTCTTGACACATATGTTCCTTCAGAAAGGGAGAAACTTTCGGCCTTTAAGCAGGGGAGCAAAAGTTCCTCCGTCGACTGCATCTCATTATGGCGGCCACGAATCGAGCAGATCGAGCTCGATAAGGCTTAACGACAACACTAAGTCTATTATTTTACGAAGTGAGAGGAGCAGCAAATAAAAACGTAACACGAGCTTTCCGCGAACTGTATTTATTTCCGAAGTATCTTTACCCCTGCAGGTAAAGAGAAGAAACTTAAGTTTCGAAAGCATGCAGTCACTCAGTCTTCTCATCGTCAGCACTGCGATGTTCAACGGAGACAACCGGCACCCAGTTCGCGCACTTTATGTCTTACCTTTGCTATTCCTCGAGCCACAATTCCTTCGTCAACCGTTGCGTCAACCGCACATCACGGAGGAGTGAAAATCATTCGCACGCAAAACCAAAAGCCCCAAAAACCGCTCTCAAAAACAAGAAAATCCGAAGCAACCTCTTGGCTTATCTCAGCACGGTAACACGAAATTATGGCGTAGCCGCGTAGCGTAAAAGGATGTTAAATCGCTTGCCACGAGATGGCAGGGTCAAGCAGAGTAATCGCAAGTAGCTAGGCTAGGTGGCGCTAGGTACCGCCCAATTCATGTTTTCACAAAAAAATATTTTTAATTTCTTACGCCGCAATTGCGTTTCCTTTTCTACGGGAACCTCTAACACATGTAGACACGTTACGCACCAAGGAGGTTAGAAGTACTAGGAGGGGGCACGTTGCAATATTGGTGAAGCCTAGTCATAAAAAGTTTAAACGATTTTGTGCCCAGCGTGACCGCAGATCTGTCTGGTGATTGGTGCGCGTGACATGTCACGTGTGAGATGGGTGGTTGATTGTAGAAGGACTCCTTCCAGGCTTGCGCGCGCTCCGTTCGGTAGGTTTTATCAGATCGAAGGCTAGACTGTGGTGTATTCTAGTACCCCATAGCAAGACCAAGGCTAGCTACGGTCACGTGATGCGGTCACGTTGGCATGGTAAGTGAGGAGAGTAAGGAGGAAAATGAGAAAGAGGCGAGGCGTCAAGGGAGCATGGCTTGTGGAGGCTACGCGGCCGACGTCATGCCCTCTCCTACCCTTCTATTCTCCATGTTACGCACACTACAAGCATCATGTGAACATATATTGAGCGCATACACAGGCATGGCACATACAAACATCAATACAACAGCACACTACCCCGATCACTACTCCCGAGCCCTGCGTTTCCGTCTTTGATACTGGTCGTTTTGAACGTACGGAATTTTTCGGTGACTCCCTAAGCAATAAAAAATATTCCGAACATGTTCATTTTTTTCCAGCAATGTCATACATCTGAGACTATTTTTAATGGCTCAGGGGATGAATCTCTTATTAAAAAGAAAACGCTCGATCATGCCGTAATTACTTGAAAGCCAATAAATCGAGCCGCTCCAATGTGGTTCCAAGCCATGAGTTTGCTTTCCCGCACGGCCCTTCGTAGCCAGAATTTATATTGTTGTGTTTGTTTTTCTATTTGTGCTGTTCGCGCACGGCTTCAATTGCCGTCTTGAATTAATCTTTGTAGAGCGGATATTCACTCACCTGGAAGTGATGCTTCACGGGCAGAGAAATCGCTTTTCGATCAACTTGAATGCAGTCAAAGCCGCGACTTGCGGCAACTGTTAAGTGTACGGAGCTACACCGTCGCGAGCTCGAAAACTTCTAGCGCTCGTCCCAGCGCCCCAATTGGAGGGCAGTTTCTAAAGGAACCGTAATATATTTAAACAGTAAAATAAAGAATAGCGTTTTTTTTTTCGATTTTACCTGTTTTTTAATGCTAAACTTTCATTGTAAATATACGTACTTTCCGTCATACTTTCGTACTGTTCAGTCTTTTCCCCAGAGCGCAATCGCTCTCGGGGACCGACAGCCACATAGGCCACTGTACGATAGGAGCTTACCGTTCAGACCAGCGTTCCAACATGACTATCCACACGTCGATCGACTGCACCTAATCCCTCAAGTGGTTTTAAACTCTTTAATGTAAAGCGGAATGTCCTCCTGCGACACCCCGCCCCCTCCGATCACGGCCCGGCCAGCGGCATCAATGCCCGACAGTTTACGTTATCTCATCTTGTTGTTAAACCACTGATACGCGAACACACGGTCACATCGGCGATAATTCCAGTCTTCTGTTCATAACCCACAACACTGCCATCACGATGTCGCTGACACGCAGAAATACAGAACCACGTTGACGATGTTGCTGACACGCAGAAATACAGAATCACGTTGAACACCGGTTGGCACTCGGCACGGGACAACGGAACCGAACTCAGCACGGAAGGCGCCCAGGCAGCCGGCAGGAAAACCCGCCTGCCTTGGACGCAGTTCCCGCGATTTCCATAACGTCGAAAAGTCATCACAGTTCCTCGTGGTTTCGCTGCTGTAGTTCCGCGTGTGTCCCGCAAATAGGAGACGGCCGTCTTACCGAGTGTATGTAGCGCTGCTGACACTGCTTCAAAACTTCGCTGTTTGATAAAATTAGTGGTAAAAACGTCAATGCAACCGAAATGTTCTGCACGTTCGGACTAGAAGAAGGAATTACAGGCGGCCTTCGCTGCCGCTGAAGCTCAATCAACTCAACATATATTTATTCAACAACGTGCGCGATGTGCTCGAAAAACGAAACCGAAAGATGAGTCGGGAGGGCGAAAGCTTTCTCCGGTCTGCCTGGAGAAGGAGGAAAACGTCTCGGTGAATAAGGACTTTAATTTTCCTTTCATCGGTCTGGGTTTGTTTATGTGTGTTTTGGTGAATAAAAATAATATTAAAAAAAAAAAACTTTACG